GTATTTTTCCTCCCAAAGTGCTGGGATTACAGGCTTGAGCCACCGCGCCCGGCCAGGTTTTTTTTTTTTTTTTTAAGTGGGTGGAGTACTTTCAGAGTTTGTACTACTGTTGAGGAAATTGACCCCTCATTTTTATTAGATTAGATTATTAAATTAACTACAGAAGTTTTATCCACCTGACTGACAAATCAGGTAGTAGTTTTTCATTTTAGTGGGCTTCTGAAGCAAGTCAGAGTGCTTCTGTTCTTGAGTTCCATGAAGGCAGAGACAGTGTTGTCTTTTTTGATCATTGCTATCTTTCCGCCTTAGTAGATACTTAACGGTTATGTTTATATTGGAATCACAAAAGCACTCCATCTCAGCTCTGGTGTTTTTAACAATATATGTGTTTGTTGTTGTTTTTTTAAACACAGAAAACTTATCAGTGGAAATAATAAGGATAAACATTTAAATCACCTGGAATGTTGAGTGGGTTGCTTTTCTCCTGTTATGTCTTGGATCAGCTATGTAAAAATTATACAGTAACATCACAGGTTCTAAGTAGAATAGCTATATAACAGTTGTTAAAATCAGATATAGTGTATAAGCAAACAGTAAGTAGTTAAGCTATATTAAAAAAAAAATGCCCTCTACTGTTGAGTGTTGGTTTTTGGTTTTGAGGCAAATCATATTATTGTCTTCATATGATGTTCCCCTTATTATCAGTAAATTCGGAGATAATGTTGGAAATATTAGTGGGAGTTTTGTTTGGTTTTGTTTAGGTATTTAACTTGTATTAAAATTACACAGAGAAGTGCTTTTCAACTATCAGTAGATAAAGTTATTTTTAATTCATTATAAGTCAGCAGTAAAAAGTTATTAATTTCTTTCTTCCCTTTTTCTCCTGTCAGTTCATGCATTTTTCACCATTTTGTGTGTATTCCATATTACATGCATATAGGGTTGAGTGTGTGTGTGTTTGAATGAAGCATGCTATTGCATAAAACTCTGCAATGTGTGTTTTTTCACTTAACAAAATCATGGATGTATTTTCAGGTGAATGCATATTGATCAAAATGGTTTCTAAACTGGATGAATATTATTTCATAGTACAGATGTACTTTATTCAGTCATTCCCATGCAGATGGATTATTTCCAGTTTTTTGCTGTAAAAATGGTGTAAAAATTAAATGCACTTACACCTGTAGCCTTATGGACTGAAACTTTCGTATATGTAGGATACTTCTAAGTGGATTTCTAGGCCAAAGGATGATTTGGATTATTGTTAAGATTTTTAAATATACTGATTACTTTCCAAAACTTTGGCACATTTCCACAAGCAGTATGTATGAAAGTGTATACCTTCATATCTGTATCTCATGTTTTGAAACTAGTCATTTATATGTCTGTGTAATCTTACTCAGAAAGATGTCTGATTCAGTAAATGGAAACCATGCATTCTATTTTGTCACAACAATAATTAGTGTTTAATATGTGTTCAGTAACCACATAGATCTAAATGTACTGATATGAAAATATGTCCATGATTTTGTTGAGTGAAAAAAATATGCAGAATTTTACAAGATGGCATGCCCCATTTTAAAATAGATTTTTTACCTTGACAGTGGTGAAAAATGGTATGTTTTTACAGTGGTGAAATGGTATGTTTCCACAGTGGAAAAAAATATGTTTCTTGTTTAGAAGATGAGGTTGAGAAATCCCTTATTAAAGCAATATTAAGCATATTAATATTTTTAAGGGACACTTTAATACATGGCACAACAATTGTGTTTACTATGCATTTAGTAAATATTTCTCTTGGCAGCAAGGGTAGTCTATAGCTAAATTTTACATGCACTAATAGTAACAGTGTTACTCTAAATTTTCAATATAATTATTCTCCCTCTTTGATTTTTATTTTATCAGTCTACCTGTACATGCCCAGAATAAGCTACCTTAGATGAGAAAATCATGGTCTTTGGAATCAGGCCTGGGTTCAAGTTCTAGGTCTACCACTTACAAACTTTAGAACACTGGCCAAATTAGTGAATTTCTCCAAACCTCAGTTTCTTTAATTTTTTGCATGGACTTAATGACTCTGCAGAGTTGTGAGAGTTCAATAAGGATTATGTAAGACAATGCAGGAAAAAGTAGTATAGATAATTACATGGTTTGTTCTCAAGTGTTCTCTTAAGAAACTTTTTCTAAATAGATCAATTATAGTATTATAAATTAGTATTGCTAGTATACCATTCATTTATATCTATAAATTCCGACCAGTGCATCCTCTGAATGTAGTTCATGTATCTTACTCAGAATATGAAATTAGAATTAAGTGAGTGAGTACTGCAGAGCTTGATGAGATGCTTGATCTCATAATCATGTGGAGGAGGCATGATGGTAGAAAGGGCAGGTTGGTATAGTGGTTAAGAGGGCATCTCTGCAGTCAAAACAGTCCTAGGTTCAGTACAGACTTGGCTGTGTGACCTGGGCTTGTTACTTGTTGATTCTGTTTCCTCATCTGTAAAATGAGGACAATAATTAACTATGTTACAGGGATAGTAGTAAGGATTAAATGAAATTGCATGTAAAATATTTAGCACACTGTCTGGCATATGTCAAGTACCCAATAAATAGTAACTGTAACTATTGTATTTGTTATTAGTTTGCAAATTGTTGATTATGTGTTTAATGCCTGTTG